ATTTTTAACATTCTCTCTGTTCTATTCTTGAGAAATGCATGTAAAAAAGAGAAGCATAATAAACCCTGGCTTGATGAATGCACTTAGAGATATGCAAAATCTGCAAATGAGAGCCAGCATGAAAAGCAAGCATTTCCTTTGATGCCCTTTTCTCCTTCATACGTATGAACACACAAATAAGTGCATACACACACACCGTTAGCTACAGTAAACGTATTTAATCAACTATTTAAAGAAAAAAAACCACTCACTTTTACAATTCTCCTTTTATAGTAATACTACAGTAAGGCAACAGTGCAACAGTGAATGTTACTCCAAAGCTACTGGATTTGTCTTTTTGGAATTACTGGACTTGTGTGAAAGCTTCAGCATCACAGAGCAGTGCATTGTTTAGTGACCTTCCGTACTGTTAACACCTTCTTGTGAGCACTGAAATTAATTTTTTTTTCTTAGTATGTGTGTGGTTCAATACTACCACCTCTTCAGACACTGCCTAAGAATACAAAGTAGCTGCAGGAGAGTATGATACAGTATAAGTATCTTGTGAGGTATTACTGCTTGGTAATTTTAAACCAAAACATTAATATTAGAGTTCTTTCCTTTTCAAAATATCATTTGAAATAAAAAATGAAATTTCATGCTCTGCAGCAGTTTCTAATCTACTGTTTTGTTTTGTTCCGTACAGATTTTGGATTGATTATCTCTTCGTAATATTTGACTAAGATCTTCCAAACGTACATTAGGCAGTATGTCTGTCATGCTGTCTCCTCTCATCTCTTGACAAATGTAAATATTTGTGTGTGAACATTCTTTGCTTAATTAAGAGGAAACATAGATCTTATGCTGTGTTTGAAAGTTTTCTTCAAAATGTTTATATCTATTAGGAAGTTAAAATTCTTCCTTGTTATTACAAAGTCAAAGAATTAAAATGGTTCACATTTGTTGCTTTTCTAAAAAGCCTATTGTAAATAAGAAAGTGAATTCTCAGTATTAATTTTATTTGGTTTATGTTTCTTCCCATTACATATTTCAGTACAGTGTTGTGACTATATTATAAATTTGTTGTTTTTTAAATTATCTATTGGATTTTACAAAATACTGATGTTGCTACACTGATTGTAAGCTAAAGTCAGCATTACTAATACATTTACCGCACAGTGATGAGTAAAATGGTATCGCAAGATACAGCAGCATTCAGTGACAGGATCTTGTATTTTTTGCCAACTCTGACCACCTGCTACCCTGCTACTGACTTTCTGACGTTTTTTCTTTGGAAGGGAATACATTGGGTGTCCTTTTCTCTTCCTGCCATATCACCTTTTTGGCATTGTTGCACCCAGGCTGGATTCACTAAACCTAGACTCTGTGGATAGCATTGCTGCACTTCTTCCTTTAACTTTTTTTTTTTTTAAAACTGTCTTGAACCCATGGTGGTGGGTCAGCCTTGGCCAGCAGCCGAATGGCCACCCAGCTGCTCTCTCACTCCTCCTCCTCAACAGGAGAGGGGGAGAAAATAGGATGAAAAAGCTCTTGGGTCAACATAAAGACAGGGAGATAGCTTACCAATTACCATCATGGGCAAAACAGACTTGACTTGGGGAAAAGTAATTAATTCTATTGACAATTAAAATAGATTTGGGTAGTGAGAGACAGAGACAAAAAAATTGAACCAACAACTTCCCTCCACCCCTTTCCGAGGCTCAACTTCAGTCCTTTGTTCCCGACTCCTCTACCTCCCCTCCCGAGCCGTGCCCTGCGGTGGGTCGGTTGGAGCTGGCTGGAACCGGCTGTGTCCGGCACGGGGCAGCCCCGGCCTCTCCTCACAGAGGCCCCCCCTGAAGCCCCCACTGCCAGCGCCTGGGCACCTGCACCCCATGCACATATAAGTAACATGCGTTACCCTCCTAATTTCAAATCAGGGCATTTGTTACCCCCTATATGCTGCAGATGTCAGCACGGCTGCCTGCAGGATATTTACTTGTTGAATTTTTTGCAGCCACATGTACTTGGCCTGAGCTTGGAATTTTTTTTGAGGATCAGGCCAAATAAATGTCTTTCCACTTCTGGGACCAAATCAACTTTCATGTAGGGGTCAGGAATTTAAACAACTGATTTTTTTTTTTAATTATAATAATATTCACTACCCAATTATGTGCAAGATTACGAAGTGAAGCACATCCGCTGTTTCAAGTGCTTACATGTAATTTCATAATTAATTACTTCTTTTTAAAGATAATAAAGTAATTCACTATTTGTTAACTTTATACATACACTTACAGAAAATATTTCCAATTATGCTTTGTTGGTCAATGACTCCAAAATTCAGTGGTTCTTACACTACAGTGTGGCCAAAAAAATTATTTACTGTCTTTTATAAACATTTTGGTCACATTTAAAAGCGCTTGATGTCATTGTGAAGGCTCCGTTGCAATGTAGTTTAGCATAAATAGTGCAGAGTCATTAGGTGGTGTGGCTGGGCTAGAAGGAGAACATCAATTCATTTCAAGGCCTAATGCAGATATTAATGAAGTTTGGGAAGACAAATTCATCAACCGGAGACTGAAAAGTGACCGCAGTCTAATTTAAACATATACAAGGATATACTGATAGTTTCTTCAATTTTTATCATAGGCATTTTTCATCTCTAGATCAGTTTATATACAGATATACATATATATGAAATACATACAAATTTTTGTATGTGTGTCTGAACTATGTTTTCACATATGGTCCAGTATGACTATTATAAGAGTCTGTTTCAGCTTTTGAACAAAGCAAGCATAACCTTTATATGTGTGTGTGTGTGTATATGTGTATATATATGTAGCTCAGCTATATATGGCAGAATGATAGTGAAGGTCTGTAAGACATGCTTCTTTTTAGCTCCATTAAACTCATCATGGATGTATTCCAAAATGGAATTATGTTCAGGAATATGCATTTTGAATCTTGCTGGTGCATCCAAATATTATGTGATGATAGTTCTATATAAATACCCTAATATTAAAGCATTACTTTTGAGGAAGGGTTTATGTGAGTTGACATAGATTTCATGAGTTTCTGAGCATTTTGTGCAAAGTAGCTGATCTAAATCCACAAAACAAACATTCTATTTTAATATTCTAATTCTATTCTAGTTTAATTTAGTTTAATTAAATTTAAACTATTGAGCTTTACCTCACTTGAAGATAAACTAGAACTTATGATTGAAGATAATGTAGAAATCCAGAATCTTTAAATCTGGCACTAAATTTAAAACAAAGCATCCAGTTACTGCAGAATTTCAGAAGTATTTAAGAGTAATGTGATAGCTGAATCTTGACTAGATATTTTGCATATATGTATATATATTAGTCAATTTTAATATATATAAAATAGGCCTTTATAGATATCAGACTGTTTCATATATATCATATATATTTTATATGTATAATAGTCTGCAAATAAAGGGAAGAACTATCTTTGTAACAGTAGGGTAGAAGTAGCAGAGGTACCAATCATCTCGAGTCCTTAGTAAGTAATAAATAATGCCTAAAACATTGCAGGAAATAAGGGGCAGAGGATTTCAGGAGACATAGTTGTTCTTATACATTAGAACTCCAGACACATTGGTTTGGTTTGCAGTCCTGACACACTCTTGGATGACCTTAAAGAAGCATTCCAATTTTGCTGTGCTTCAGTTCCTGGTTATTCCTACTGTGATCATCCTGAGAGGGTTTAGTCAGAAATCAATGATCATAATGATTTTTTCCACAATGTTTTTTTCCACAATGAGACCTCAGGTTCTCTTGTAGTCAATTGTCCACAAAATCGTTGACTTGAGTAGAACACCTCATATCACTTCACTCTTTTCCGGAATATTTTTATAGCCTAAAATTCATAACCTCTGTGACTGCTTACTTGATTTCTTCACACATCCTGGGTTTTCATATCCATCAGGCATAAGCTTGAGGTTTTCGTATAGGTGAATACATCAGTCACTGGTGGAAGCATTATTTCAGGTGCACAAGAGGAAGAGTTATAATGTTTGAGGTAATCCTGCATCTCGTGATGTTGGCCAGCGTGGCATTGTGCTAAAATAGTGGTCCGGAGCAACACAGGCACCAGCTTCCTCCAAGTACAACATTAGACCAGTAAATACATCTATAGGAGTTAGTTTGCTGTGGTTAGTTACTTTTCTGCTTGATACATGCATGCTCTGGTTGTGCTCAGATTAGAGGCCACAGGTGTTAGCATCCATTTCTGACACACGGGATCAGGGCTGCAGACCCTGTGTGCAGGCCACATACAAACCAAATGCAATACTTGTTTCCTGAGTGTCATGGATATGAAACTGGGGAATACCTCTGCCCTGTAGGAGGAATCGAGTTCCATCAAAGACGTTATTTGAAGCTCTGCATTTAAAAAAGCTCCTTACACAGTAGTGTGCTATGCCTTTAATTAAATTCTGATGTTTTAATACATGTGTCTATACACATATGTGTGTGTATACGTGTTCCCTTCTGGTTAGCAAATACTTTCAGATAATGAAGACAGTCACAAAAATCAAGGCTATATTTGAAACAGAGAACTGTGCTTAATGTATCACGTAAATTAATCAAACCAAATACTTAAGATCTAGATATGTATGATGTATTAATAAGTATTTATGTGTTTGTTTATACACACACAATTAATGTATTATATCTAGATAAACACATAATTCCCTACTACCCTATGCCAGTTTTATAAAATGAATTTGTTTGTAGAAGTTGTGTTCAGCTGGTATATAAAATCAGGTTGCCCACCAAATTATTTACTCAGGTTATTCCATTGGTCTTGCCTACTCTTATCCGTTGTTGGTGTGGCTTGACCCTCAAGCTATTCTTCATTCCCAGTCAGAAATGTTCATACTGAGTTTCTTATAGATCAACAGAGATGTTGATTTCATTGTAAGTAATGTGCTTTCCATGACTGGTGGTTCTTTGGTTTAAAGTAGCTGTTATTTGTCACACTGACAGGTACACCTACTGCGAAACGCTGGCGATGAAGTTACCATCACTGTTCAGTACCTCAGGGAAGCTCCATCATTTTTAAAGCTCCCATTAGGTAAGAGGAAATTAATGGATAGGAGTAATCTGTTTTCCTCTGTGCAGTATTCTCATAATATGACAGTGACAGAAATAGGAATTCAATCCTTGAGTGTTTTACAGGAAGAAATAGAGAATTGTGTGTGTACTTTATTGCTTAACATATAAGAATCTAATGCATACTGCATGACTGCTTCTGTATAGTTTATTCAAAATAAAACTGAAAACCTCATTAAAATGCAGTACAATCATGAGTGATATCTGAAAGTTTTTCTACAGAAGCTTTGCCTGAATACAATAAAATAGTGTTTACAAACATGTGAATCATACATTCACACTGAAAGGTATTTTCAGGACACTTACCAAACAAATGGATAGCATTAATTATGCATATTTCATAAATTACTTTGATATTTTGATAATTTTTTGTCAGCAGAATTACGATGTGACAACTGAGTAGTTTAAGAGTAGCAATAGTAAATTGTTTATGAACAATGCACTGTTTATGAACAATTTGCTGGTTAGCAAATATAAATATTCAAGATAGTCACTTTAAATCAATGTTGCAAGTAGAAAAGTGTACATAACATATCAGCTAACTTAATCAGACCAAATAATTTTGCTCCAGTTTATCTTACATATGATTCTCTTAAGCCAAACAGATTTAAAATGTGTCTTGTTTTGGGGATTTAGGTAAGTTGGGCTCAACTATGTACTCGTTTTTTCTTGATTTCAACAGAATCATAGGTCTCATAGGTCTAGCTCTGGTCGTTAGAAGAGCATCTGTCACTTCATCTAGATTCTTACTCCTGTTGAAAACAAACTTGAGGGGCCTCTACTAAGCTGAACTATACATTTCATGCTAAAACCATTATTTCCGTTCTTACTGCATATCATTTCCATTTGAAAATGGAATCTAAATTTGAAGAAATCTTATGTTTATATTTGGAGATCTTTGTCTGGTCAGTGTCCCTTATAATGAAACTTCAGATTTTCTATCCTAGGTCATCAGACAACTATAGACTAATATCTATAATGCCTTGGATAACTGTATCCAAGCTTAGGTATGACTTTGGCAAGCTAGCAGGGTCTTACCAGTAGTTTCTGTGTTGTAGACCATATTCATTTGTGGTTATGACAGTCCTACTAGCAATTTTATCTCATCTTGTTGACTGACATCACATACACACTTGGACTCTATCATTTGTGGTCGGTTAACCTTGGCTAAGAGCCAAACTCCCACCCAGCTGCTTTCTCACTCCCCCTCCTCAAACAGAAAATGGGGAGAAAATAGAATGAAGAAGCTCTTGGGTCAAGATAGAGACAGGGAGATCACTTATTAATTACCATCATGGGCAAAATAGACTCAACTTGGGGAAACTTAATTAAATGTATTGTATATTAAAATAGATTCAGGCAGTGAGAAACAAAGACAAATAAATTGAAACAGCACCTTCCCCCACACCTTTTCCCAGGCTCAACTTCATTCCTGACTCCTCTACCTCCCTTGCAAGTGGTGCAGGGGGATGGCAAATGAGGGGTTGGGGTCAGTACACAGCATTCCTCTCTGCCACTCCTTCCTTCTCACACTTTTACTCTGCTCCAGCGTGGGTTCTTGCCCCTGGCTGCAGTCCTTTACAAACTGCTCTAGCATGAGTCCTCTCCATGGGCTGAAGTTCTTCAGGAAAAATCTTCTCCAGCATGTGTCCCCCACAGGCTGCAGCTTTCTTCAGAACATATCCACCTGCTCCAGCATGGGGTCCTCCATGGGCTGCAGTGTGGGTATCTGTTCTGACGTGGTCCTCCATGGGCTGCGGGAAAATACCTGCTTCACCATGGTCTCTCCATGGACTGCAGGGGAATCTCTGCTCCAACGCCTGGAGCACCTCCTCCCTCTCCTTCTTCAGTGACCTTGAGGTTCATATGATTTTTTCTCACACTTTTTTCCTCACTCCTCTCTCTGCTGTTCAGCATTTTGCCCTCTCTTAAATAGTTTCCCAGAGATGCTACCAGCTTGGCTGTTGGGCTCAGCTGTGCCCTGCAGTGGGTCCATTGGAGCTGGCTGGAACCGGCTGTGTCTGGCACAAGGCAGCCCCTGACCATCTCCCACCCCTGGAGCCACCCCGCCTCCCAAAACCTTGCCACTTACACACAGTACACACTCTATGTGAGACAGCTGCCACCTTCACAAGGAGTTCACGCAGGTCCAGGAATATTGGTGCCCTCTTGGTACCCCATGGGAGAGAAGAGGAAGTTAGCTGACGCCTGCGTTGCCGTTCTCACCAGGAGGCACTGCAGCCATTCCTGTCTGGGAAGCTGAGATCATGGCACTGCTTCCACAAAGTGTTGTTTCTGGAAAGAGAAAGCAGTGATTAGCAGGGCAACCAGATCATCATCTATCTCCGTGTGACCAGAGGTGCGTGCAAAACTTCTGTAGGTAAATAGCCTCCTGAACACTTCAACCAGGAACTTTCACCTTACAAAAACCTCCATTCTCTTTCAAAGGGCCTGTTTCATGGCCTGTGGCCAGCTAGCACCATTTGGAGTCTGCCCCTGAGTACTGTTGTTCAAAGAAAACCTGTTTGGAATAGGGAAGACAGTGCCATTTTAGACAAGCTATCACAGACTGTCAACAAGCACAGCAGAGAAGCAATGCTTCTTAAATGAAAGAGACATCTTGGATACAAACTGCTCATTTTGGGCAGCTTATTAGACTTGCCTCCTTTATGCAGAGCATGAGGAAGTCTTTGGCAAGCATACTACCCTGCCCAGTCCCATGTATGACCCCACGCCTTCAGTCCTATAGTACATGCTCAACAAAAGGACTTGCTAAGTATAATGAGACAGCTGAGGAACTTAAGAAATGACCCTTCTTCTGAACTGAACCTGGACCTCAGCACAGAGCTCACCTGCTCCTCTCCAGGATGTTCTGTGCAGCCATCCAATACAGGCTGAAACAAAGCTCAGTGAGTGAGATGATCTTTGGTAAGTGACTTGACATAAATACTCATTCTTGTGGTGAGGAAATAAGTGAATAAGGTGTAGAAAATTATGGAAAATAGGTCTGGTTTAGGGCCATACACTGAAGTTAAGGAGAACAGCAGTGGTGGGACAAAGCACCCCATTTCAAGAAGAGCTTTTCACAAGCCCATGCACAAAACGGAATTCCAGTCATGAAGCATCAGTGACACCTATAACAAGCTAAGTAGCAATTCTACTATGCAATAAAGGACTTCCCAACTCACACTGCAGGCAAGATTTAAGTGCATACATGCATAAACCTGAAGTATCTTGGCCTTTCCTAGCATCCCAGAAGACTCAGGCACATGGTCCCCTACCTTCAAGCATTCAGTCAGATCAGCTGCTATGCTGGCAGTTTTAGTACTGTGGTGTGTTCACTTTAAATGCAACCATACTGTCTCTTCCTGTTAACCAGTATTATTACTATTTCTTGTAAGTACATCATCAGGAGTAGCATCTGCCTCTGCTGCTTCCTTCTCATACCTCTTCCTTCCCTACACTATCTCATGCCATGGCTAGCAAAAGCACAAGGTGTCACAACAGGGAAATATCTGCCTACAGTTCTCACCACATTTTTCTGGTTGCTTCACTCTTTCATGGATTGTGAACAACAAATACAGGATTTGGCATGGGTTTAGGCATGGATACTGATTAACTGGCACTTAAGGATGAGACAAGGACTGCTTGTTTCTGTGTTTGGAGGAGGACCTAACCCAGGGTGGTATGCCAGTACTGATAGTTGTCTCTTTCACAGCTGCCTGGGATTCTTAGCCCTTACTAGACTATTATGAGGCTGTCTATAATAGTAAATTAAACTATGCCAGCAAATATTCTCTGCCACAGGAATTTGATCAACAATTTTATAAAATATTGCAGAATGCTTGGCATAATTTTGCATAGGGCAAGTACTTCTTTCTCAAAAAACTGTCAGGCCTGGATCAGAAGTTAGCATAGGCCAGTAGGGTCATTAATTGTCTGCTTCATTGGGTTGTCTGGCTCCATGGCTAGGATGATTCCTCATCCCATGGCCTGTAGTTTGCTCTAAGGTCACTGTCAGCTAGAGAGAGGATACATTTGTGTTTCTGGAAACCAAAGGAAGGAATTTTGTTTTTTGGAGCTGGGTCAGGAAATTATTAGTGGCTATGAGGGTTATTTGTTAGCCTGTTACAGAATAATTAGGGCATCAGCTCTTGGGTATTGTCATTAAAGATTCTCTGGAGCTAAGTCCATTATCGATCGCAGAGTTGAGCAGGACTTGTAGGACCCTTTTAGGTAAGATTCACTGCTGCTGGGAAGACTCTTCAGGACATTTTATGCTAAAACAGGCTCTCTTCAGAATTTTTATTTTTGATAGTTATACCAAATTATCAGAATATTCTGAAGTTGCAAAGCTTGCAGTGAAATTAAAAATCACCAGGAGTTTTCCTTTGATTTTAATTTTGTGGTTGTTCTGGAATGGGCTTTTTGTCTATTGGAGGTTGTCTATGACAATTAGCAAGTTAGATAAATGAGATTTTATTTATATACAAGAGGTCTCCAGTATCATTCAGCAAGAATGTTGTAAAGGATAAAGTCTTCCTGACTGCTTGCTGCACATTGATCTGCTGTCCTGCGTTTTGGGGGGTTTTGTTTGTTATTTAGAGATTTAGTGTAATTCACTGACTGAAATAAACAATCACCTGTTGATGGGACTCTATCAGAACTTTAACAGAGACCTTTCTAGGTCTAGAAAGCTTAAGGCTTTTAAAGTTACAAATAAAATCCAGGCTTTATTAAAATAAGTAGTAGAATATCTAACTTTTTAATTGAAAAATCTCAGTGATTCTATCAAAAAGAATATAAAAGGATTTATAAACAGCTCCTACCTGTACCACTGCAAATGAGTTCTTGCTTCAGGTTTAGTGTCAGCTAGCTTGGTGATTTCCTGAGTTACTGCTAGCTCTGCAAAATCCCCTGTGATCCTTACAAAGTTTCTTTCCCTCACCTCGGAGTTCTGCCTGTCTTTTTCTTGCTACCCCCAGGGGCATCTCAGTCTCTTTTGTGAACTGCAGACTCCTATATCCTTGCTATCTCTCTCTCTCTCTCTGACCCCTTCTCACCTTACAGGGTAAGTTTTTTTTTTCCTCTGAGAATACTCAGCTATTGGCCAGGTAAAGATCAGGCGAAGATCTCTTCCACAGGATACCCAGCCTTCTCAAGAGAACAAAAATGCCACAGCTGAGAATAAGCAAATTAAACAGATGAAGCCTGTCATAGTGTAGGTTTGTATTTCTCATCTAACTATGATTTGGGGGGGATAAGAAAACAGCTAGGCAATAATGATTGCTGGACATCTCAAAACATCCCAAATACCTTTTTTCTGGCATCAGTACCCATCAGGATACTGTACTGTGGTCATGGATGGGGGAGTTACCTGTAGCAGATGTTTTATTTTACAAAAACACTTTGTTTTGACAGTCTTTCTCAAACTAACGTTCCAGAGTTTGGACTGGTACCTAACACTTGATTTGGAGTCTCATCTACTTGGGCAAGGGCTACAGTAGCAGATAGTGCAAGATTTACTTTGTGTTAATATATTTTGTATCATGTATATCATATATGTGTACATACTGTGTTTTGTTCTAAGAACAGGGAGGAAAGACTACCTGATTTCTCTAGGGCTGCCATGTAGGGACGCAAACAGTGCTCCTTGGAGAGACGAGAGCACTGCACCTTCCATGAAAGCAGTTGAGCATATACATTATGAGCTTCTAAAATGCCGAACGAGGCCATGAAGGAGTAGTGTATAAGTGAGTGAGGCAGAACAGGCAGGGAGCAGACTAAAAGACTTGTGAACTTGCTTGCAATTGAGTAGTGGAGGTGGCATAGCCTGAGAGAGGCTAGTTTGTTGTGACTCAGAAAACCAAAGAAAGCTGCTGAACTGAAAAGCAAATTTTCGGGGACACTGTGGGAGGAAGGAAATTTGTTCCTTAACCTTTTATTCTTAGCTTTCCCATGCAATGGATGTCAGTTTTCTCTACTTAAAAAAATAAATTATTCTAATGTAGTATTTTGTATTATGGTAAAACCTAGATTTAGAGATTTGAAAATACCTAAATTCCTGTCTTTTGACATGCTCAAATTGCTGAAGAAGTGGGATAATTCCACTTCAAGAATCTGATTGACTAATGGACCTGTCATAGTTGTCTCCTGCCGGAGACAGTGGGATTCCCCAACAGGCAGACTCTTCAGTGGATAATTTAATGCCAACTTCTTTATTTCATTATTTTTATTTTAAAAAATTAGAAGTTATCTTCTGTTCCAGCAAGTCACTGTGGTCATCTGTGAGTCTGAACGTAGATTTTTGTGGTCTACTGTACATATATAGTAGCTACAAAACGTAACTAGCTACTAAAGTCGGCGCTTGGGTTAGACCCATACAAGCAAAGCATAACGGTTCCTTCTGCTCACATCATCTAATACTGTACAGAAAGGACACCAAATGAAAACATGCTGAAACTTTAGAATTGAGGGTATAATTCTGAGACCTCAGCACTGAACTGACAGAGATTTGTTACGGAGAAAATGAGCTTTTGTTGAATTAAGTTCCATTTTGCTAAATCTTCCAGATATGTGGAATAGATACATACAAAAATACATGACGAAGAATGACTTTTTGACTTTTGTCATGTTAGACTTGACAGACCTATTAATGTGAAATGATTTACAGGCAATTTCAGGTGACTTCTTCAGATGGAAAAATGAGTTTTCAGTGATGATGAATATAATGCTGTGAAAATGATTTTATGTGCTTTATTGATAAGACCAAGTGCTGTCTGATAGTAATTGTATATATACACGTTAACATTTTACATTGTAGCAAAAATTACACAATGATGTGGCTTTGTGCTGTTTCCGTTATTGTATGTGACAAAAGTATTAAGCTTTTCTGGAGTCACTTTAACTACTAAAGCAGGATCATGATACGTAACTGCTAAAGGAAGAGGTATCTTGAAGAATATAATTGTGTAATCTTAACACATTAACATAGTATCAACATTTCAAGATGACTGCTTTTAATTTCTCAGTTTGAGAAGGTGCATCATTCTTGAAAGTCATTGACATTTTAAGAAAAAGATATATCCGTTAATAAAGTGTATGTATGTGTACAGTTAGTACTTGCCTGAGAGTTTTTTAGCTTTGTTTATAAATACAGTCCATGGTTATATTCTAAGGTGAGGCTTTCAACACTCAATAGGAAATTTATTCATTAAATTAATGGGATTTGTGTAACAATTTCTTACTTGGTTTTGCATATCTCATTCTCGGTGAAAAAAGGCTTAATCCTGCAAACATTTAAGCATACAAGTAGTTCCCATGAGCACAGCCTCTATGAAATGACATCTAGCTACCTTTTTTCTTTCTGGACATAAAGTATAGCATATGGGCATTTTATTGGCTGTCATTCTAAAATGCAAGTAGTACTTCTGGCTTGGTTTGGTGATTTATATTAAAAATTCTTCCTGTGTTTTACAGCTGGAATAGATATTGCCTGATATATACATGTATTTTTAACATAAGCAATTATTTTTCATGATCTGATTTCCAGGTTCCCCTGGACCATCCAGTGATCACAGCAGTGGAGCTTCATCACCTCTCTTTGACAGTGGCTTACATTTAAATGGAAACTCAACTAACACTGTAAGCAAATGAATAATAAAAACATGGTGTAAGCTGTGTAAGTTCTCTTCCCATTCTCAGCTTCAAAATGTTAGTATAGGACTGTAAGACTACCCTAATTTTTTTGTTGCTGTTGTTTGCTTGCTTCTTTGTTTGATTGATTTTTAAGTGCATATACTGTAAAATTCTGTACTTGCAAAGTAGCCAACATGGGGCCCTGGTCTGCTAGGTTCTTACTCTGAGGCAACTGAGAAGCTTGTAGGAGTGAGCACAGTAAGATTTAATCATTGTTTAGGCATGAATTCTTGTGAACTTTTGTCATACTTTGTTGAATTGTAGTATTGTACTGTTGAATTTAGTCCAGCTGGAGATGCTGAAATGTACATGGAATTTAGAAAATAATGTAAAATTGAATTATTGAAGCAAACTTTCGTGATAGGAAAGAAAGGGAGAAAAAGAGAAAGAAATAAAATGGGAAAGCAAACTTAGAAAAAGAGAAAGAAATAAAATGGGAAAGCAGACTTAGGGGAAAAAAAAAGTCTGTTTCTTTAATCCAGAGGATATTCAGTTCTTTTTTCTGCAGTGAACAGCTATGATTGAATTAATTGCAGCATTGTGGGGAAAAAAAAATTCCTTTCTCCAGGAAAAATGCTAGTCACCAAAGCCAAAGAAGATAGGATGTCTTAGTAGGTGACAATGTTGCTCTTTTAAAATGAAGATTGAAGATGTAAATACTAGCTGTAGAAGGACATGGACCTTCATGCTCAAAACTTGTTTAGCTTCTAACAAATTGCAGCTGTAGTCTTTCAGTTGGATATTAAACTTTACAGAAGGAATGCCCAGAGAATGGAGTGAAGGCTTTTCCTCTCCTCTGTTTTTCCTTTTCTTTCCTACTCAGCCAGAGATGTCAGTGTCTGCTGCTTACTGTACTTCTTCCAAGCTTTGCACGTTTTTGAGCACTGTCTCTCTAAACTAATCCTTAAGGCTTGTTTTCATCTGATAAAGATATATATAATATAAATATATATATATATGATAAATAAATAAATAGAAATATGCTTTGCTGTGCTGATACCTGTACCTTAGTGCTTGGGGTCCAAACTGAGCATAGATACAGAAGGTTTCATGGTTATTTGTTTTTAATGACCCAGACAATTATTACCTTTATTTACTTTGTATTGTTGTCTTACTAAAGAACCCCAATCTGTCCTCAGGGTCCAGCATTCTGCAATGCCTGTCCACCAGGTGCTCTGCAGACAAAAAAAGTCCTTTCTCCAAAGAGCTTACATTATAAGAAGAGGGCTATGGTCATAATAACTTTCAATAATCATTATGACTGTACTGTGGGCATTGCACACTTTGAATTCTATGCATTATAAAAACATAAATAATTGGCTGGAGTTTTGTAGACTTGTAACAGAGTAATTTAGAGTTAGTTTCCAAGGTAGCACACAAAAGACTCTGCATAAGCTTGAAATATAAGTGGAAAACCAGAAAGTAAAATAGGGGAATACTAAGCTTGCTTTTATACAGCACTTAATTTTTCTGAAGCTTGACATAAAGTCACATGAGGAGCTATGTATGGACCAGACACTATGACCTAGAAGTGAAATAAAGCAAAACAATCTACCTTATATCTAGCCTAGTAAAAAAGTCATGATCTCCCTTCATAGGAAACAAAATGAAAAACTGCCAGATTCTTATTGTGAAATGCAAAAGCAAGGTTCCAAGTATTCTGAGCAGGAATGACTGGCTTTTGAGATGGTCCGCTGGAGGTGTGTGGTCAAACTTTTATCAGACCAAGCTGTGAGTGTAACTGAGCTGTGATCAGATCTTCAAAAGTGGTTATAAATGTGTTTCAACTACCAGCTAGTGAGTGCTTCTACTTTTTTTAATTAGATATTTTCATTTTTACAGTAAAGGAAGAGCAGAACTGACATTTCCTATAATGGTATTGCCCAGTAAGGCTAAGGATATTTAAATCCCTTTTCAACGTGACCTTGGTAGGGGAGATCTGACTCACTTTGAATATTGCATCTTGTAAGTTTGTGTTGCAGTTGTATGTACCTTCCTAACCACAGTCAGATCCATGCCATATTAGACAATGTCCATATATTTATGAGTGGAAATGCTGCTCCAAAAAGCGCACAGTGTAAAGGAAAGGACGTGAATGAGAGGTAAGGAATTACTGTTATGCCAATTTTACCAAGCTGTCATTCAGCATGTCTGTTCTGAAAAATAATAATAGAGACACTTGAGCTAATGCTGTATTCAGGCTATAACATTCACATGGCACAATAGAATATGTTGTGGTGATACTAGCTTATATCATATAGACAGTAGTATAGCCATGTTAACATCAAGCTCATTCTGCCTAATATGATTATACCATTTTCAGTTCTGGTGCTAGCTTGCCTCTGTTAGATATATCTTTATCACCTCTGCTGTGAAGCATGTGTTATATGTGATGTGATACCATCTTCAGGATTTATATACATCCTCCCTATAATATCAGAGCAATTTGCAGTATAGCACTTCAACAGGGTTCTCTGGAACACAGAGAAAGGAGCTGAAGTGCTCTCTTCACACCTAATTATTTTGTGCTTGGGCACTGTGACAAATACTATAGAGATTGGTAGTGGTAGATACATTCATCTGTGTCTTATAAGTGGTTTATTAAACACAATGTGAAGTTTCAGAGCAGAACATAAAACGTTCAGAGGAGGTGGTCTTTAGGATAGTGATTACAGGTTGTTTACCTGAAGGATTCTAACTACAAAACAATGAAGAAAATACTGTAGAGATACTCTCCTAGATACCTAAATATTCTAGATGTCCAGGCCAGCTCTCTGGAGAAATTGGGGGTGAAAAAAAAAAAGACCGGAAATAAAACAAATTCCTGTGTAAGACACCATTGAATAATATGATAGTTACGATGCAAAGGGAAACGTAGTAGGTTTTCATTTGTTTGAAAATCCAGCTTCCCTGAATTGTCTAAAAATGATGTTCTAATAAGTGAAGTGAGACCAGAGTAAATAATGATTTTCTGTGTGTTCATGTAATTTAAGAACTCTAATTTAATTTTGATAGTATATGTGTAGTTTAGTTGGTTAAATGAAACTAAACAGGCACTTAAAATTTTCTAAATAGCTTTAAAATATTTTTTCCTTGATGGCTTTTAAATTAGAAAGTTCTGCTTTAAAAAAGACTGCCTACTTCATCACCAAGTACAGTTTTTAAAAAAGAAAAACTACAGCTGCTCAATTCTTGGTGGGACCAGTAGGATGCTAAATCCTTAATGTCTATAGTAGTCTGGTTCCAGAGTGAGAGAATGAGATGACTCAATCCCAAGCGTGTAAAGGCAAAAAGGGAAGAGGATCCAAGAAAGGTGGGGGGACACCCTCTTATTGAGACTAAAAGCTATTCTGATGGATACTTTAGTGGAGTGTGTGACCAGAGCATTGAATTGAGATTGAATTGATGCCCTACCTCTGAAAACTTCAATAGTTTTATTTTTTTAATGTTCCTGTAGTGTCTTCCAATTCAGTATAAATACACTATTGATCATTCTTAAGTTTTATTTTATTCTTCATTTTTATCATACTGTAGCTCACTTGAAAGAAAAAAAGTTTCAGGATTTCAGATCAATACCTTCTCTATTAGAATGGTTTTGCGTGTCATACTGATAGACTCTGCCAACTCTTGATCTGAAAATCCATTAGTTTCTCACTGAATATGATAGCAATGTAACTTTAAATTGACTTCCAGTTCACAGTGTATCATTTATTAACTCTATCCCTGCTGAAACCAGGACAGTAATGTACTTGCATAAAATGTAATCAATGTAATAAATACAAAAAATAGCTCACTTAGAGGTACAGCGCTGGTTACTGTCATGAAAGTAATCATCACCATGTCTTCCATTTATTTGCTAAAGAGAAACTTAAAATAGATGAACGCAGCTAGCTACACTTAAATATTTTGGACTGCCGCTGTGCTGAGAACCTTTATGAAATGAGATAAACATGCTGCAAATAAGTGTGCTCCTTTTTCTCAATTAATAAAATACAAAGTGACTGTCCCCTTTCCACCTACAGGGAAAAATAATCCAAATTTTCTGTTTCTGATTACACCTCTCAGAAATCATAGCAGTAGAAGCTGGAAAAAGCCTATTAAATAACACCTTCCTACTCCACTGCTATAGAACTGTTAAGGAAGAAAGGCTGAGAGAGTTGGGGTTGTTCAGCCTGGAGAAGAGAAGGCTTCGGGGAGACCTTCTTGCAGCCTTCCAGTACTTAAAGGGGGCAAAAAGATGGCAGCAAATTTTTGAGCAGGGCCTGTTGCGACAGGACAAGGGGGAATGGCTTTAAACTAAAGGGGGGCAGATTTAGACTAGATCCAAGGAAGCAATTTCTTACGCTGAGGGTGGTGAAACACTGGCACAGGTTGCCCAGAGAGGTGGTGGATGCGCCACCCCTGGAAACCTTCAAGGTCAGGTTGGACGGGGCTCTGAGCAACCTGATCTAGTTGAAGATGTCCCTGCTCATTGCAGGGGGGTTGGACTAGATGACCTTTAAAGGTCCCTTCCAACCCACACTATTCTGTGATTCTATGAAATGCTTTTGATATTGAGTATTGAAATTGTCTAATTTAGATTTAGCTGTTCAGAAGTGCTGTGTTTTTCTAATTCTGATTAGAGCTGATTGGGACTTTAAGTATGACATTAATGAAGTGAAAAAAGGTGTCTTTAAAAGTCTTACCTTTAAGTTGTATTGATCCTTACTGTCACTGCTAATCCTTTCAGCAGACTTATTTCTTCTAGTATTTAACATCTGTTTGATCATGTCGGTCATTTCTTCTGCACAGAAATGAAACACTTGTTTAATTTCCCAGTAAAGTTTAAGTCAAGTATGGTTTTAGAATTTATATTTTTTAACTTAGAGCCTTAAAAAAAGCTGGTGAAAGGAAATATGGCATTGAAAATACAAAGAAAGTCTTACTAGCTGCTAAATAAATGAACA